TCTTCGGCCTCAAGGGACAAACGGATATGGAGTGAACATTGAAACAGGGTACTAAGTTGGGTGATCGCCATAATCATATTGAATAATGGAGCAGACTGCAAGGACAGATGGGCAAATTCCTGCTTCAACGTCAATATTCCTATCACAGATATCATGGGACCTCGCACTGAGCCTGGAAACAGACTACCCATGACAAAAACACCCAGCAACAATAACCTGTTGTTTCTTGATGCAATTTTGTATCCGATTAGTGAGGTGCACTGACACTAATTTCACTCTTCTTTGAGAGATATATGTAAATAGCTGTGTATTCTTTAACGTAGAAATGATGATGACAGTTGATGTAGTGTGGGTCATGTCATGGAATAAAAAGCACCGTGACAGCGGGGATGCAAAATTTTCTGTGAAGAATTGTTTTCCAGACTCGAGCACAATGCACAGCGTTGTTCCATGGAGTCGTATTGAGACCACCTCTCTTCTGAACAGATATTAAAGAGCTGCACATTTTGGTGCAGACAATTTCAAAATCCTAAATGAGACAAAAACGCATAGAACCATAGAAACCCTACCGTATAGACAGAGACCCTTCCCCCCATTGAAGCTACATCGATCCTCAAAGAAAAGCAAAGTTGCTGGAAAAGCTCAGCAGGACTGGCAGCATCTGTGAAGAAGAAGGTTAAGGTGTCGGGTCCGGTGACCCTTCCTCAGACCCTACAAGAGCTTTCTGCAAACCTGCATTTACCACAGCCGGACTATCTGGTCTGCACACGACGGGGTAATTTCCCACGGCCAATTCACCTAACCTGTATGTGTTTCGTCTGTGGGAAGAAACCCCAACGCAGACAGAGGGGAGAAGGCACAAACTCCACACAGACGTCACCTGAAGTAGAATCGAAGCTGAGTCCCTTTCGCTGAAAGGTCTCAAAAATGTGTAGAGTCGCCCTGGCAGGGAAATAAACCCCAGTCTCCCGCGCCACAGGCGGGAATACTAACCACTATACTACCAAGGACGGCACACGAGCATATCGCCCTTGAGCCCTTTATGTGTGCACAGTCAAATAAAACTGCTTCACGAGCCGAATTCTATTTTCCATCGCTTGGCCTGTAGCTTTGTATGCCTTAGCATCACAAATTCATATCTAAATACTTCTTAAATTTATTAGGATACCTGCCTCTAAGACACTTACTGGCAGTGGCTTGCAGATTAAAAACACGCACTGGTTGAAAAGGTTTTGACACCCATCTCCTCAAACCTTCCTACATCTTACTTTAAATCTATTCCCCCCTTGTGATCGATCCCTCCATCAAGAGGATACATTTCTTTTAGTCTACGCTGTCAAAATCTTTCCTTATTTTGCACATCTCAATCTTGTCTCCTGTAAATCTCCTCTGCTCTAAATAAAACAACCCCAGTCTGTCCAATCTCTCTTCATCACGGAAACTCTTCAGCCCAGACCATAACCCGGTAGATCTCTTCTGCATCGTATCCAGTGCTATCAAATCCCTGCTATCATGGGAATTACAGGACTGCACACAACATTCTAGCTGTAGCCGAATGAACAAATGAAATAAACGATGCAGAAATCCACAGAAAATGGTCTTTTCCAACGAAGTTTCTTTTGACCAATATTACCCTGTGTCCGTTTTCCTGGGTCTGATGCTCCAATATTCACTGGTCCACGTCAGTAAAAGCTGCTACATGCCATTTGATTTCACAACCGCGGGATCTAAATGGATCGACTGGCTTGAAGGTCCCAGTGGTGAAACTGGGGCACGTGTACCCAGCATCATTGACCAAAACAGGGCAGACTGAACGATGTCAATGTGAAAATGGGTGTCCGATTGTGCAGTGCCTTAGTGAAGTGGAAGGAGGGACGGAAAGGAGAGTTAGTGATTGTGGGAGAGAGAGAATTCTCCAAGAGGTGAGCTTAAATTCTGATGCATCAAACGCAGATATGTGACAGCGACGGTCTGAAGGGAGAAAGTCATCACCTCGGGGAATATTTTCGCGTAAAAATGTTTGATATTTTGCCACATTTCTGTCGCACATGTCACAAGGAATAAGTGACGCAATCGATGAGCGCGCGGTCCTTCTATGACGGTATAGAGGCGCGTGAAATGCCGAGGCTGTGAGCTCCAACCTCACCCGGAGCAGCTTTTATTGACATGGAGCAGGGATTACTGGGGCATCAGGCTGTGGGAAAAATGTTGTTGAGCAAAACAGAATATGTTGGAAGAGACCAGTCTCATTGTTTGGATAATAATCAGTACCAGAGGGAAACACCTCAATTATTCACCGAAAAGCATAATTTGTCAGCAGGAGAAGGATCTTCTGAGGAGAGAGAAACGGAGATGATGTTTTAGCTCGACAACCTTTCCCATATCGCTGACACAGTGCTGGGATAAATTCCGCGTAGGGCTGTTTATCTGTTTCGTAAACTGTCTCTCTTTTTGTCCCCTCGAATGAGTAGTACTTTCTGCTTATGGGTGGAATCGAAGATAATTAATGACCTACAAAGGAAATGAGATAATCATTTCAGGGAAATAAGCTTGCAGGGCTCAGTGGAGGGAGCAGGGGAATTACAGAATCTACATTTCTCTGTAGAAAGCTTTCCATTGAATGTGCTGTAAAAAAAGGTTGCACATGATGTTGGTGCGGCCTGTTCTGGAGTAGTGTACAGTTCGGTGCACTCTGTTATGGGAATGATATTATTCAGCTGGAGATGGTTCAGAAGAGACTTACCAGGATGTTACTGGCTTTGGAGGGTTTGAGTTATATGGAGAGACTGGATAGGCTGGAACATTTTGAGCAGGAGCGAAGGATCTTGTGGGGTGACGTTACAGAGTTTATAAAATCATGAGGGTTATAGATAAGGTGAATAGCAGGTGTCTTTTTCCTAGCGTGGGGGATTTCAAATCAAGGAAGCAAATTTTAAAGGTGGAAGGAGGAAAACTTTAAAAAGACATTTTTCTTTTTACGCTGAGTCGTTCGTGTGTGGAACTTCCAGAGGGATTGATGGTTGCCGGTACAGTTACAACGTTTAAAAGACATTTAGATAAGTGCACGAATAATAAATATTTGGAGAGATATGGGCCAAGCTCAGGCAGAGGGAATAGTTTAGTTTGGGATTATGGTCGGCATGGACTGGTTGGACCAAAAGGTCTTTTTCCATGTGTATGACACTATGACTCGAAGTGGCTAAAGCTGCAACTGTTATGCTATATAAATTGGGCCTGCCAGATTTTTACCTGCAGTCTTCACCTTTCAGAAAATAGATTAAACTTTTTTCTAACCTCAGTGCAAGCTCTTATTCTTGATTTTAAAACCTGACGCCCTGTTCACAGCTCCAAACCGCCTCCCATTTCAGTGATTGGATGTAAGACAAACCCGCCCCTCACTCACGCCGTTACAGGTTGGAGACTCTGCCTTCCCACATTTCCCGATTGGTCGGAACACCCGCCCCGCCTCTCGTTCTCCCAGATTGACCCGGGAGCTCCGCGTCAAACCTCCAGTCCCGCCCCTTGCTTTCTATTGGTCCAGAGACGTTACCAGCGGGCAGGCAGCGTTCCGGACCATGCGCATGCGCGTGCCGTGAAGGATGTTCGGAAAAAATATTCGTCTATCACATTGGTAGGCGTTGAGTAAAAGTTAAAGACCAGACCAGCGTTCGGCCTGATATTCTGACCAGAAAGTTTCATTGTTGCTCATTTTAGGTCTCAAGCTCCAAATATGGGTTTTCCGGTGTCGTGATTTAAGCCGCAGAGAACCTCAGGCTTCTTCCCAGAAACAGGCCCCAGTCAACAGTCGCCACTTTTTTCAGCGGGCGGTGGGTGTGCGCAGGCGCTGTTGGCGTAGTGACGTAACAACTTGTGCATGATGCCGTATGATGGTTCGCACCTCAGTTCCTGAGCTCCCTTTCCCCATCCCCCACTCTTCTCCCCGCCATCCCCAATCTACTCCAGTGTCGCCTTCTGGGCTCTGCAGTTTTGTTTCATCATTCCCGGTGGGAGGGATTACTGCAGTAAAACTGCAATATGAAGGTGAGATGAAGCTGGATGTGATAAAAAGCAGCAATCCCACCAGAATCCAAGTCCTGTCACCCCCTGTAAACTTACAGGTGTCTCAGCAGGATGTCGGACTGAATCCTTCCGGCACATGGAACAGGGGAATGGTATATCCATGGTGTGACGCACATTTGGTGGCCTGTTCAGGTGGGGAAGTGTATCCCTGTCCTCGTTGTCCTGATTTTTCCGCAGTATGTTTTGTCTCTCCTGGCTGCATTATCAGATAAGTCCTGACCCAGTCGACAGAGTATCCATATCGTTGTTTGTTATTTTGTTGTTATTTCTGCTGATTGTGACTGAATGAGATTTCCGTTGCTGCCCATCACTGGTTAGATGTTGCTGATTTCCCAGCTTTATCTTCTCACGGTCAGAAATTATTTGTCCTGCACTGGAGATCATTTTTGCTTCTATACTCGGACTGAGCATCGAATAATTGTTATAGCACAAGAATAGCAATCAAAAACAGATCAGCATCACTATCACTGGATTCACAACACAGTGAAATTGTGTACTTGTGATTTTGTACCGAGGTACAAAACGGAGACATTGTAAACTTTTCACTGCACTCTTGTATCCCTGTACTTGATTACAGGTGACAATGAAACCAAATTCTAATTGCATTTCCAAATGTAAATTTAAAAATTTAATGGCCATCTAAATTGCCCAAACCAGACTTTATGACTAACAGACCTTGGACACCAAGTTTAGAAAAAAGAAATGACAATTACTTGAGCAAAACAAATGTAAACAACTGAGCAATCTAATCAATATCTGTGATACAAACACAGTCTTTATTCATAACCTCCACTCTCACAGATAAGGGTATTTTAAAATGAAAATAGAATTCATGTAAAGTGTCAGTTCAATTAACCAGTTTCAAACAATGCATGACAAGCGTTTGTGCAATCCTTGGATAATGAGTTGTTCACGGCCATGTCGAACCTTACTAATTTCTAACTCAACAGTGAATGTAGACAGTTTCAGCAAACTTCCATAATTATTTTCTTATTTCCTATGTTGCTTTTCTCGGAACATTCAACAATTTTAGAACCGGATAGAAAATGAGAGACAGAGCAGTCAGTCCTGAACCTTCCAAAATCACTGCACCTCCTTGACCTTCTTGAACTGCTGAAGTCTGTGCGGTGAAGTTGCTCCCAGATTGCTGTTCCATAAGGAGTTCCAGGATTTTCATCCAGTGGTGACAAGGTAATGCTGATATCTGTGGGAGTTACAGTCGTTTTGTTTTTATATCCCATGTTTAACAGAATAGAAACACAGGGAGGAGGATCAGGAGTAAGCCATTGTGATGTTTGATCCTGCTGTGCTATTCAGTATGATCATGGCTGATCATTCTACTCCATGACCTGTTCCTACTTTGGACCCGTGCTCTGTGATCCCTTTAACCCTCAGAACGATATCTACCTTTTCCTTGGGAAACATTCAATGTTTTGGCCTTAACTGCTTTCTATGGCAGCAAATTCCACAGACTCATCAGTTTCTGAATAAAGAAATTTTTCCACATCCCAGTGCTAAATGGCCTAGCCCATATCCTTAATCTGTTAACCTCTGGTTCGAGACTGCCCAGTCATTGAGAACACTCTTCCTGCATTTACCTTGTCAGTCCTGTTAGACTTTTATTGGTTTCTGTGAGATCTTCCTTCATTCTTCTGAACTCCAGTGAATTTCATTCTAACCAATACATTTTGCCCTTATACGTCAGTCCCGCCATCCCAGGAATCAGTCTGGTAAACCTTTGTTGTGCAGCCTCCATAGCCAGAACATCCTTCATCAGATAAGTATTCTAAAACTTCCCACAATACTCTAGTTGGTCTCACCAAGACCCTGTACAATTTCTGCAAGACATCCCTGCTCCTGTACTCAAATTTTCTCACAATGAAGGCCAACATAGCATTTGCCTTCTTCACCTCCTGCTGCACCTGCACGCTGACTTTCAGCAACTTGGGTACAAGGACAAACCGGTCTCATTGCATCTTCTCCCTTTCCTAACCTATTTCCATTCAGATAATAATCTGTCTTTCTGTTGTTGTGATCAGACTGCATAGCCTCCTATTTGTCCACAACATCCTTAATCCACTTTGTATTCTTGCCCACGCACTTAACTCCAAATCACACTGTAGCATATGCGCATCCTCCTCACAGTTCACTGTCCCACCCAGATTCCTGTCATCTACAAGCTTAGAGATATGACGTTTAAATTTCCTCATCTAAATCATTAACAGATATTGGGTATAACTGGGGTCCAAGCACTGATGCCTGCGGTACCACACTGGTCACTGGCTGCCACTCAAAAAATGACCTGTTTGTTCTTGCACTTTGTTTCCTCTCTGTCAATACACTACCCCCAATCCCATATGCTTCAACTTTACATGCTAATCTCTTCTGTTAGGTATTTTGAATGCTTTCTCAAAGCCCAAGTAAACTACATCCACTGCCTCCCTATCAACTCTAAACTTTGCATTCTTGAAACATCCCAGCAGATTTTTCCATCTGTATTTCCCTTTCATAAATCCAGGCTGATTGACTCTGTCCAATCTTTTCACTGTTTTCCAGTTTTCGGCTAACCAGTCTGTAAATCGATGTTTTCTCTCCACCTCCTTTTTTCAAAGAGTGGACTTACATTAGCTCCCCTCCAGTCCTTAGGAATTGTTCCAGAGTCCATAGAATCTTAAAAAAATGACGATCAATTTCCTCTATTCAGATTCAGGCCCCGAGTTTCAGAATGTGTCCACTATCTCGTGGGCCACTTTAAGTACTCTGGGCTGTCAATTACCAGGTGCTGGGATATGTTGGCTTTTAATCCCATCAATTTCCTCAACACCATTTTCCTACTAATACTGATTTCCTTCAGTTTCTCCCTCTCCTGCATTCCCCAGCATTTTAAGGATATTATTCTGTCATTCGTTCTGATGACAGAACCAAAATATGTGGTTAATTGTTCTGCCATCTCTTTATTTCACATTATAATTTCTCCCCTGTTTCTGGTTGTAAGCAATTTGTTTTCATTGATCTTTTTGCTCTTCCTTTTATCTTGAGGAGCTTTTCCAATTAGTTTATATGTTCCCCACAAGCTTACTCTCATACTCTATTTTTCCCGTCTTATGTGGCAGGGCCACCTTTCCTGGTTTATTTTGTGCCAGATAGGAATTAACAGCAGTTGCAGGTCTTCCAAGTGCTCTAAGTGTTTGTCATCCCTTTAAGTTTACGTTCCCTGAGTTATTGCAGCCTACGTGCTCCGCATACCATTGTAATTTCCTCTCTATTTAGATTTTGGCCCTCATTCTCAGACTCAAAAGTGTCACTCTCCATCTGAACGAAGAGTTCTGTCACTGAGTTCTTCATTCTTCCACAAGGTGCCTCTCGCAGCTAGATTGCAAATTATTCCTATCTCATTACTCAATTTAAATGTTGAAATTAAATTTGCCATCGTCCCAGAAGATCATAGGACTGCTCTCTCACTTCAGAGAGAGAGATGACTAATGATGCTTTAACCTGAGGGTCACCATGCCTCTGGCAAGGGGCAGGATTAAGAATGTGGGACCTTCATGGTGACCTCAGCTTGT